ATAGAGATTTTTAAGTCACCGTGAGGGATAAAATTAACTACATTTTTGTATCATTTAAAGAAATGAAGCATAGCCAAAAGTAATAGGTTAGTTGTAAATTTTTAGAGGTTCACCGCATACCTCTAGCATCAAACTAGTTATATGCAAAATTTTATTTTAAGTGGTCTTCTGTATTTTAAAATATTTTTGCTACAAAATCAGCCATTTTTTGGTTTTCTCCATCTTAAATTTGGCTCCTAGCTGTCAACCCCTAGTTGTATTTTTTTTAGCTTAGAATTTTTATCTTATTTTATTATGTATTTACCTAATATATAGTAAAAGTTGTTTAAATATCAAAATTGAAGATTTTTTTTGTCTAATGAGTTGCGCCCCTTAAATTGGTTCCCCGTTTCCAACTTCACCGATAACGTTAATGTGATTCGAGCGGGAATCGAAATTGCATTACCCTTGGATTAGTCCAGTGCTCTAACTAAAATACATATCGTTTGCATAAATATGATTGAAGTTTATTTTTATCGTTTGCATGATTGAAGGTTCCAACAAGGTATTGGAATGTCGACCGAATCTTTTATGTAGTTTTTTTTTATAACAGCTCAGCAATAGAAGATATCTCTCAAAATAATTTTAGCACTCGGTACTTAGATTGGTTTGCCCTTTGTCATGCAATAAATCCTTAAAAATATTAAAATAACGTTAACTTTCGTTTAACACGAAACTTTTTGCAAAATGCAAGTTTGTTTTTAATGCCATCAATTTCAAAACCCATTATTCATAAACCAATACGATGCATGGCAAGCAATTCCGCTCAGAGGTAACTAGGAAAAAAAATCAGAGTCAAGTTCAAACTTCAGTCAACTTTTGATGATACTACTTATAGGTTGCATGCAAAACGATATTAAAAGCTTCGTATGCGTTATCAAGAGTTTCGCAATTACAAAGTTCTTGATAACACTTCTAAAAGGATTGGTTCAAATCTTGAAATTTAATGATAGCTGAAATATGTATGCGAGTTCAACCTAAACATAAAAACTTAGACCTCACAAGGATTTTGACTTGCTCGAGCAGGATTGTCATACTAATAAAAATTACGTTTCTATTAGTATGTACAGTGTCAAACATTATTTGCATGCCGTATGTTCAATGCTCATACCAACAGATACAACAATAAATCGTCGGAATAAATCTAGTCGGAATATCACCAGCCCTTTTTCAAATTATTAGTTTAAAACAACGTGTGAGTTGTTTTAAACTATAAATTTGAAAAACTAATAGTTTAAAAAGTCAATTTTGCAAAAACCATTTTTTTATTAAGCATTGTGCAAATCCAAAAAAAAATTCAAAATACAATTAAAATCGGATTTAATAATATTTTGAAACTTTATATTGATATTCGTCCGACCAGATTACGATTTATTGCATTATCTTTATGATGCGCATAATTTATTAAATAAATTTACATAAATTATATTTAAAAACCTGACTGATTTCTTTTCTTGGGAAGTTTGGGAAGTCAGACAAAAAAACTGCGCTTTTTGCGCTTATTTAATTTCGCTATTTACCCCAAGGAACTTTAATAAACGTAATAAAAATATAAATTTAATAAAGCTCCTTGATCTATCGAAACAAATCCTACATCTTTTCTTTGATGTGAATAGTTTTAGAGATTTTTATTTTTTAACCTGTCTAAAAAATCAAAACTTAGTTCAAATTAAGTTTTCAGTGGCATTATAATAGACATTAAGAAGCTTTTAAGTAGAAATTTAAAAAAAAATTTATTAGTAAATTTTTATTTAATATTGAAAAAAGGCAATTAGGCACCACCTTCATTAAAAATTTGTGTATACATAGACGCAGAGGTATGTATTGCGAAGTGTACATAAAAAGCGGAATGCACATGCAGCGCAGCGTAAATAAAAAGATCATACATAAATCGATTTACATACATGCAAAACTCGATCTACAGATCGAGTATACATAAATCAAGTGCTCCTACATGTATGTACACTCGGTGTGTGTACATTTGATGTAAGCAAATTTGATTTGTGCCGTCGATTTATGCACACTCCGCAGAGTGTGCATATATCGACTGCAGGCTGTAAATACTAATTTTTTAATTTAATCAAGGACGTATAAATAGATGGACGTTTAACCCATTGTTTAAAAGCCAAGATATCCGCGCTATCTATTGTTTTAAATAACAATAGCAAAACAATAGATTTGATCACGTGAATCACGTGGATCAGCTAAGTCACGTGTGCGCTATTTAAATAGATTTTACGTCAAAATAACGTCTGTCTCGTTTATCCAAGTTAAAAATATATAATAAAATGGAATCGATTGATAAGGCAGAGGAACTTGAAATAAACCAAGATGATTATTCTGCTTTACTTTACAGCATCGATAGCGAACATGAAGTTGTTGTTGAGGAAGCTATTGAACTTAATCTTGAACAATTAGAGGAATTATTATCAGAAAATTTTGAGTTAGAATGTTTGCCATCTGCAATTCCTACACTGATTGCCGAAAATAAGTTTAGTAAAAACAAGGAAACTGTAGAGCCAGCGGTATTTCAATTTATATGTCCAAAATGTCAAAATAAATATCTTAGACAATCTAATTTCAAAAAACACGAGCAGAAATGTCACGTTGGCAATGAAGGTATAATATATTCAATTTTAATTAACAATAATATTGTTTTTAGGCATTACATCATTAACCTGAAGCAATCCTGAAATTCAAAGCACGATAAGTAATTAGGTTTAAACACACAAATGTCAAACCAATAACTCTAACCAATAATTTAAAGTACCATAACAATTATCATTTATTCTTTTTTCTTGTTGCATAATGTAATGTTTTTTCTTTTTTTGTTTTAGGTTTTTCTTCAGGTAGTTTAAGTAATAATAAATCATATATTTGTCAAAATTTGTCAAAAAGGAAAAAGGTAAATTGAAATAATTTTTTTTTGTATACTACAATAATTTTAATATTTAGCCTTTATATTATTTATGCATTTTGATTTTTTTAATTATATTTTCAATTTGATTATGTTGCAAGATAAGTTAAATATATATATATATATATATATATATATATATATATATATATATATATATATATATATATATATATATATATATATATATATATATATATATATATACAGTGGTGGATTAAGACTTTTTGGGGCCCGAGGCTGTTTTATGTTTGGAGGCTTTTTTTATATGCCTCAGCTTAAAAAATGCCTAATAAAAAATTTAAAAGATGAGGTCCTCAAAATTATTTTGGGGTCCGCAAAATTTTTTAATATTTTTTTAGAACTTCTATTACTTGAACTCAGACATGATTTGCATGGAAATTCAAATAGATTTTTTGAAAAAAGTTTAAAAGAAGCTTTAATTGACGAGGCTTTTACTATTGAAGTTGAAGACTTTAAAACACCTGGAAACTATGCAGCTGAGTTATCCTTATGTATACTAGAAAATACTTTTGAAAAAAATAAAATCTTCTGTACCAGTGTTTTAGAAGCGTTTCTCCCTATTTTGAGTTTAAGAGGAAATACGTGCAAGTTAAGAGAGCAACAATGTACACATTTACACAGCCTTTTTAAAAATGAAGTATTACATTCTACGTGCAATGATCTAATTTGTGAATTTTCAGATTACTAATGGGTTTGATCTTTTGTATTCATTTGTGTTAAAGACTTGGTTTCAAATTGCTCTTGATTGGAGAAACCAAGTGTTATTGAAAGTAAATGAAAAAGAACTAGACCTAAAGTTAACGTTAGAAGAAGAGAAAACTTTGCGCTATGTAGCTGGGTTTATACCATTTTCATTCCGAAAAAGATATTCTAATATTAGCAATACAAATTTGAGAAAAGCTGTCTTAGACCTGGTTAAGTCATGGGAATCTCAATCTGACAATAAATCGTTAAATAAAACATTTTTAGATTACACTAGAGATTGGACTATTAAAATAAATCGAGGTGGGCTTTTTTTAGTTAATGATGATTTCTATATATTTATTAGAAGACTTGAAAATGTTGCAAGAACAGTATTAAATTTGAATCTAATTGTTAAATATAAAGGGGAAGATCTTCGAGATGTGATAATGAAAAAATTTCAAACAAGTTCTCTTATTGATTTTAGCTGGGAATCTCTTACAAAAAATGCGAAATCTCAACATTTAAAGTCTTTATTAAAAGATATTATTCTTAGAAAGTGGATGAGCATTCGAATACGATCATTTGTGAAATCCTGGATTAGAGTCATTAATAGAAAAAATGGAAAATAGGAAATGAAAAAGGAGAACCAGCATTAAGAAAAGCTTTATGTATGAAAAATCTCGAAAAATGATTTGTTTATTTATTTTTATTAAATCTTAATCATAAGTGACTGAAGATTAATCAATCCACTGATTTAATTATTATTATATTGAAGTTAAACTTTGCATAACATTTTGTAAATATTATTGTGGTATTGTAATATAAAGTTGATTTCAATTATTGATTTGTTAATTAGTAAATATTATTTCGGGTATGACTGGTCTCCATTTCCTTAAAATATAGACATGGCTTTATGTACTTAGTTTAACTAAAATTTAATTAAGACTTGAATAAATTTTTATAAAAAATAGTTATCAAACCTTTGTGGTATTTGCTCTAACACTGCGCTGCACTGTCAGGTGTCAAAACTGCGAAAAAGCTAATACTGTTCCAAATTTTTTTCAGTCCGCCACTGGTTTTCACAGGGACGAAAAGAGAAATAAAAGAGGGAGGGAGTATAATAAGCGGTGGAATAAGTACTTTTTGATAATATAAATAAACGCCGTATGAGTTTAAAATAATTAGGGTAATAATACACGTTCTAATAGCCCGGTCGTACCGACTGTAAAATTCGTATTTTAAACGCGCAAAAAATGCTACTTTGTTATTGTTAAGTTCAGGGTTGTCACCAGGTATTTCATATTACTATAATGATTTTATTGCATAAATACTATGGCATTTTTTACATTACAAAAAAAATACAAGTTTTGAATATTTTATAAATTTTGCTTCTTATTCAAAAACTCTTAAAAATCAAGTGTTATTTTATTATATTAACCAAGAACGTATAAATGTTTATTTTTGTATACGTTTTATAATTTATAAAATTTATGCATCCTTGATAGAGCAAAGGGGCAATATTACCCTCCCCAAAAAACTAAAAATATTTGCTTTTACTTTTAAAGTTCTGCCTTTCATTTCCTTTTAAACCCCTCACCCCGCAACACTTTATTGATCTTCATTCGCTACTGCCCCCACTCTAATGCATAACCTTCCTATACAAGCATCGCTATTTAAATAAGTTTTCAAGAAAGAAATGAAATAAATACAACCATTAGATTTTGATGCTTAAGTTAACTCCCCCAAAAAATTTTTTTACTTTGGCATTAATAATATTTAACACCATAGGGGTCGTCCATAAATTACGTCACGCAATTTTTGACCATTTTTGACCTCCCCAACCCCTCGTCACAAAATTGTAATACTTAAGAATCAAGTTTTGTATGAGTCGTCACAAAAACACCAACCCCCCCCCCTATAGCGTGACGTAATTTATGGACGAGCCCATAATAAATGCTATTGTAAATTACACGCCTTAAGAAGTTAATAAATCGTAATCGTTATAAAATTAAGAACCTGACGAACAACTTTTTTTAAACGTTCTTATCGGTTGGCGCCGCGGAACCACAAATGTCGTGCTTCTGAGGCGAGCGCTCCCACTCTGCCACGGCAGAGTGGTAGTTGAATTGGTTAGCAACGCGCCACGGACGTACTCCTAGGGCGACCCAAATGCATCTGCCCTTTTAAATGATTGCAGTATAAACTGTATAATAATGGGGTACAGTGGCGTTGAAGGTCAAGAAAGTTGAGGCCAAAAACGGAAATTAAGTGGGCTATGGCAGTCAAAATAAAAAATTTACATAGAAAAAACAATTATCACAAGTTTGGGAGCACAGGAGGAGGGGGGCTACTCCCTGCTCTGCCTCGTTGTTTCTTCGCCATTGTGGGGGTAAGCCAAAAAATATAGCGATTAAAATTTAATGTTTACCAAATTCACAAAGATTTACAAAATTTTATAATGCTATAAATTATAATAACAAAATAAATAAACAACTTAAAAATATAAAGATAAAATCATCTTTTTTGTTTTTTACTGGCAGGTAAACTAATATCTTTAACATTCAGCGGTTGAAATTCATGTTTACGAACCGTTGTACATGATTCAAAAACGCGAATTAAGTTATCTCCTGTAACATTTAAACCAAGGGTATTTGAGTTGTATTCAATCAACATAGGATTGTCATTACAGCCTAAACGCATTCGTTGCATACCGAAATATTCCTCTAACGGATCTTGACAAAACTTTTTAGAAAGAATGTATTCCACTTTTTCATCAAACAATACCTTTGCAAGGGCTATAAATGAATTCACTAAAGGACAAAAAAAATTATAAAAACTAATGCCTCATAAAAAAAATACATTTCTAAGATTTTTTTAATCATCAAATTTAACGTAAGTGATTAGCAAATTTGAAAATGTAAGTACATGAGTTGAAGGGAATGCCATACTTTTGTAGTTTAATATTTTTATTCCTTTTAGTTATAGAAAATGTGATACTATTTTCTTAAACTTCTATTTATATTATAAAAAGATTTAGATCATTAGTAGTTTTAATTACAAGCGATGAAATATTTAATATAATAAATATAAAATCATTTGTTAAAATGTAAACTTTTTACTTGTTAATATTCCAGATAAACTTCATTAAATTTGAATAAACTTAAATTTGAGCAACTAAAACACTCACCAGTTATACGAAGTCCCTCAAGGGTTTGTTTGCTTAAACAAAATCGGTTCTTTTCTGCTTGAGAAAAATTTGGGATGTTTTCACACTGCTTATAAATATATATATATATATATATATATATATATATATATATATATATATATCTATATATATATATATATATATATATATATATAATATATATATATATATATATATATATATATATATATATATATATATATATATATATATATATATATATATATATATATATATATATATATATATATATATATATATATATATATATATATATATATATATATATATATATATATATATATATATATATATATATATATAATATATATATATATATATATATATATATATATATATATATATATATATATATATATATATATATATATATATATATATATATATATATATATATATATATATATATATATATATATATATATATATATATATATATATATATATATATATATATATATATATATATATATATATATATATATATATATATATATATATATATATATATATATATATATATATATATATATATATATATATATATATATATATATATATATATATATATATATGTTTATATTCGATTAGGATGTAATTATTTTATAATACATAAAAATATATGCGGGGAAAAGTTTTAACAATTATTGAGAAAATGTTAACCTACAACTTTTTGAGAAATATTATATATTTTTTAACCCAATCTTTTTGGTTTAAATCGATAAACATTTATATTATATTAGAAATTATATTTGGAATTAGGAAATCATAAATGTCAGTGGTAACTGACACTATTTGGCTCACTTAAAGAACCTCAGGATTACTCTAAGGGCCTTATTTAACTACCTATATATCATAAAAAAATAAAAAGCAATGAATTCTAATTCATTGAGAATAACTTTTATGATGAAAACTTGTTAACTACTGACCTGTGCTGCTAAATTTACTCTCATACGTGTTCTTGGATTAAGACTTATGTGCTCTTCGCTTAACTTATGTCCCATTGTCAAACCTACTGCATCTCTCCCTAGTCCAAGGTCCCACTCATATAAGCTAATTATTTGATACCAGCCAAGCTGCTGACCGTCAATCTAAAAATAAAAAGACAAATATAAATTTATTACTTTTTTTTTTTTTCTAATTATATATTGTAAAACAGAGTATCAATGTTATTCAAAAGTTACCTATAATTTTTTTTTAAATTTTTAATTTTAAGACACAATTACAAAATTTGTAGTCGCGCCTTTATATTTGGATGCTATTTAAATGATATTATGGTAGAGTTGAGGCCATATTTTTAATAATAGGATGCTATTTTACCATTAACCTTTATGAGTATTTTTATTGTGATACTACCACAGTGAAGATTACCATACAAGGTTAAAAAGCTGCTCCTAACCTTACCCACAATCAATTTGGAGGTTTTATATCAGAGTATCAGTCTCCTAAGTAAGTTACCTTCACTACAGACAAGGAGACTCCCCTGCCTTATATCAACTAGGATGTACTGGATTAAAGATTACAAGCAGCAGGTTGACCTGTTTACCAGGGTGACCTGATTTTATTTATGACTTAATTAAACTACTATAATAATATAAATGATGCATGATGTATGTATGATGAATAATTAGCATTCATACCTTTAAATTTAAATCGATAAAATAAATGGTGCAAAATACAAATACACAAGTAAGAATGGTCTATTTTATCTAAAAAAGTTGTGTACTCGACGTATAAAATTCGTAAAAATAATTATAAAAATATTAAAATTTGTGTTTTCTAAAAAGTATCCTACGTACCATGAGATTTTTAGTTAACGAATTTCCATGAGAATTTTCCAAGTTGTTTCTAGTTGTTTTTATGAGATGAGGTACATCACAAATAAAAAAGATCTTTCTTTCTAAAAAGAAAAAACTCTCTGAAACAAACTATAACAATTTATTTTGAGGGATTTAGTTTCCAATAATAAATAACAGTTACTATAAATTTATAATTCAAATTTAATAAATTTATAATTTATTGAATTTACAAAACAAATATAACATTTATAAAACAAATTTTTTGTTTTCCATTAATTTAATGTTTTATTTATAAAATAGAAAAATGTGATAATATAATAAGTAAAGAAAAAGCAAAACAATTTACATACGAAGACAAAACTCGTTCCATGTCCAGTAAATTACCCCATCTTTGGTATTTTTCTTTGTATTCCACGCATGAAGGCGCATAAATTTTCTATTAGGGGATGCACCATCAGCTGCAATAGCTATCACCTTTAAACCAATTGACTCTAATTGTCTCACACCTTCCCATATTGTGAAATATAATTGACTACTCATAAGGCCACCATGAGAAGCGAAATGCCTAAATACATATTTCAAAGATGATGTTATACCCCTTACCATTAAAACAGTCACATATGATGCCACTGGTCTATCTGTTGGATCTTCCACTTGACTTTTTTCTTTGCTTTCCGAGTATTTATTTTCAAATTCAACTAGTAGTTCATTGATTGATCCGATTTCTGTAAACCAAACCATTTTACCAGTCGATGAGCTAAAAGCAAGCCCACTTTTAATTTTCATTTCATCAAAAATAATTGAAACATGCCTTTGGTGGTCTTTTATATTTGGTAAGTCAATCTTTATTGCTAAGTTGGATAACACATCTTTATTGAAACCACAACCTAGATCAGTGAAGTTGATATACTTTTGGATGGTACTTTTGCATGGTAGATTTAAAAATGGTGTTGAACAAATATGGCGATAAGCTCTTGGAGATTTCAGATACAAACTAATGCAACATCTTATAATTAGTGGATGCCACTTCATAGACCTCCTATCTTTAAATTCTAATTGCATTTTTTGTTGCTGCCACAAAAGTGATTGAGGGGAGTCTTCTGTGAATGGGTTTTCATTTCCATATTTTCTATATGTTTCTACAATAATATTGTGTTCATCTTCTTGAAGAACAATACCTTCTTCTTTTATAGATATCTCTGGCTTATTTTGTAAATGTTGATGTTTTGCATAAATAGTTTTCCTTTCTTTTTCAAGAAGTTTCAGTTTTGTTAATAATTCTGACTTACACATATAGTGATCATTTATTTTACCTGAAACTGAAACTAAAAACTTGTCTTCAAAACTCTTCCTCTTAGATTCCATCGCATGCAAGCTAGCGCGGCAGATTGTGCAGGAAAAACAACGGAGTTCCAAACATATTAATGAGCATTCTTTATGTCTTATTACATTAAAACTGTCAATTGAATATCCTTCTTCATGCTCAATAATTCCAATATTCTCATTTGATGAATTTTTTGAAATTAGAATACTCTGATATTTTTTTTTTTTATTAAGTATGGAAAATCATTATTTCCTATGCAAATAAAATATGAGGAAATGCTTGAGAAAATAGTATCAGCAGATTGAAGTGTTAATTGATTTGGAAGATTTTTAATACTATCATTTGATAAAGGTACTTCACGATTTAAGACCTTCAATTTCCAAAGGCCATTTTTTTCAACGGATAATGTTTTGCTGATAAATTGACGAAAATTACTAATATCAACTTTTACAAAATTTTTTTTGGTGTTTTCATTGTAACAGTTAAAACCATGCTTTAATGCGATTTCTTTAACATCCTGATCTCCATTAGTTGAAAAAACATTTTTATTTCTCCCAACTTTATTTACAGTATTACACACATAACAAAATTCTTTGTGCTCTGAAAATATAAAGAACTCATCGCTCTTTTCAACTTCAATTCCATTTTTAGCTTTATATTCAAGTCGGTATAAAAGCAAATAACACGATTGACATAAATATTTCGGATGTATTCTACTACTATCCAAACTAACATCTAACTTATATATACTTAAAATAGTAACTTTATAGTGAACAACAGGTTTCAATTGATAGTGACTTTTAAATTTTATTTTGCATCCATACTTTCTACATAAACTATTCAATGATTCTTCGTTATTATGCATTATCTCTCAGCTAAAATAATACCATACATTCTTAAAAATAATATCATACAAATTTCTTCTAGGAAGAATAATAAATTATGATGTAGTTTTTAATAATACTAATAAGTTATTAGTATTATTAAAAACTACATCATAATTTATTTATTATTATGGTACTTTACATAATTTAGAACTTTATGTTATTAAATAACATAAAATTCTAAATCATGTAAAGTACCATAGTGAATAAATTTTACTATTTAAAAAAAAAAACTTTATCTAAACATTTAATAACCCTGTTAACTCTTGTAAAGTATACAAAAAGGTTTTAAAACTATATATTATTAATAAATTCACAAGAACTCTACTTGAACAAATAAAATATTCAATTACCCAAAAACATCAAAACGAAGTTGTAAGTGAGACAAAAAAAGTTAGCATTTCCGACAAAAATGAGAAATTACTTTAAAATTTAAATCCTTAAAAGAATAGTCAAAACTAAATGTAGGGAATAGAGACCGCAAGTAATCTATAGTTCGACCTATAAATGATGTATAGTATTTCCTACAACCTGTAGAAAATTCGTTTCACTTTGCAGTATTCATTCTTGTTAACCACATATTACTTTTTAACAAAAATATGACTTTTGACGTCAAAGTTTTACAACCAATAAGTTCATATTAAAAAATCCTAACATATCAAATTTGACATTTTAAAACAAATTAGAAATTCCTTTTTTACAAAAATACATTTATCTAAACTAGAAATAAGAGTTTTCTAAGTAACCGCTTTTTTACTGAAACGAGTTTAAAAAGTAAAATTGCCGTATTTAAGTCGGTTTATTTTAATGATAATTGAGAAAAAAGTCGCTAAAAGTTATAGCTCGCATAGTTTTTGTTTATTGTCGGCGCCTTTGATCTATAACAATGGGTTAAACGTCCATTTATTTAAACGTCCTTGATTTAATAAATTAATTTGATATTTCATTAACTTGGCGTTTAATTCTCAAAACCACTTTTTTTTTCTTCATAAAAATGATAGCGAAAAGTTTGAACATCATAATTCTTCTCAAATAAAATATTTCTAACTAACTTTTTTCGTCTGATTCTTCAAATTGTATTGGTGGGTGATTATGGTGTAGAGGACAGCTTTTGTTTTTCTTATTGTGGCAAGGTGTTTTGCACACAGAACAAATTATCGTTTTTATCTTTGGCATAACAGAATCTGTTAGTATAAATTGTTGTAAACGCATTAACCTAAGTATAGTTTAGAATCTTGCTTTGTCTAAATTTGTTTCGTTAATCTCTGAAAACTTAATTCGTTTATTTAAATGTTCACTTGCGTTACAGTTAAACATTCCATAACCCCATCCAATTCTAGCGTAGAATGCCATAAGTTTTCCAACATGACTTCGTAGTAATGTAAGTATGGCATGCCTTCAGTACAATCAAATCCAGCATACGTGATAAACTTTTAAAAATATTCTTCACACTTTTCATTGAAAGTACCTGAAAACTCAGGAAATGTTGATCTGACATCGCTAAAAATAGTAAGTAACATTTAGCTATAAAACCCTTTAATAATCCTTAGGAAATGATCATAATACTTTTCATATAAATAAAGTAAATTTTATAATAATATTTAACAATTTTGAATTGTGCTATGTTTTAAATAAAATAAAGTAATGATAATTTGTAACATTGAATAAGAAAAACTTAAATAAAACATAGCAAATCTCTTGTAGCAACTAGCAAATCTCTTATAGATGTCGAGAATTTGTCGCAATTTTAAGGCACTTTGATCAAGCCAATTTTCTCCGTCGGCAAGAAACCTATTTATAAAAGTATCAATGTTTAATTCCAATAACTTACAATCATTCCCAATGATTTTTAAAGTTTCAGAACTATCATGATTCTTTTTTTTGCAGAAAAAAAAAATTATAAAGATTAACTTGAATACCTATATTATTCTTACATACAAAGGGCCGTGGCTAGGCTCCCCCACAACAATTGGGGAGGTCCTTTTTCAAAAAATGGAGAGCCCTTTATCAAATTTTATTTTGTCATCCTTTAAAAATTTTGAAAAAATTCTTTTTTCAAAATTTCGGAACCCTAATGACAGGTTTTTAGAGCTCTGACTCCATAGCCATGAAACTGTACAAACAACATTAAAGACATAAAAAACATTTATTACATGACTTATTTCCTACATAAAAATTGTAGCAATAACAGATAAACATATATATACATATATATATATATATATATATATATATATATATATATATATATATATATATATATATATATATATATATATATATATATATATATATATATATATATATATATATATATATATATATATATATATATTAGATATAAATTAGAAAAATAGAATGAAAAGAAAGAATTGCAAAGGAAACAAAAAAACTAGGTAAAACATAATATATGGATCGTATGGAACATAAGTAAACTTTTCTAATAATTATAAGTCTATTTGGCTCAAACAGTTTTGTTTTGATGTTTAAGTAGGCTAAGTGATTCGTAGGTATGTTATATTTAAAATATATTATATTTAAAATATATTATATTTAACTACATATTGTTTAGATGAAGAATAAAATGATGTTGGCAATGATAATGATGACAATGACTCTGATTATGTTTTTTCTGATAAAGATGAAACTTAAAATCAGTCATTAAAAGTTAAATTAAACTAATCCGTTTAAATTTTGCTCTGAAATCTAATTTGTACAATTTGAAATTTGGTTTGTACGATTTTTACACAGGTCCGGATAGAGGTCGTAGTTTTAAATTTCTTAAGAGGGTTAGAGAGGATGCCAATAGAATTTTACTAGCTGCTTATGCAACATCATCTGAAAATGTACCTCAATTTGATTATTTTTTATAAAGGGACCACATGATTTATATTATTCATTATTGTGGTGCCAGATCTGGTGTTACTGCTCATATGAGCATTAAAAAGAATGCAAGACAAAAAGTTTTAGATAATAATTTTCGAGTGGTAGGTGTTGAGAATCGCAAAACAATTTCTAAGTAAGGTTCAGCTAGAGTAATACCTCATCGACTAGAATTCGAATGATTTAAAATATTTGTTAACTTTATTAGACCAAAGTTGCCAACTAATAATTTAGATAAGATTTTTTTATCTTGGTCTGGAAACGAAATGTCCTTCGGAGATATTATTGGCAGATTAAACTATTTATGGTTAAAAGCTGGTATTTTTGATGGGCGTTTTATTTCTAAAATATTATTAGCTAACATCGTTCGGAAAAAAACATTGGCTATGAATAATTATGAAAATACTCCGTTTTATAATCAGAGAAGTATTTTGGTAGCTTCCATAACGCATAGCGAAATAACTGGAGCTGTCCGTTATGAAACCAAAAATCAGTTGGACCATGCTGTTAAAGGAAGCGATATATTTAGAAAAGGTTTTCTTCACCACCAAAATCAAACATTGATTTTATTCCTTACTCTCCAATCAATAACAATCAAGTAAGTTTTAATACCCCTGAAAAAAATGGAGTAATAAAGAGACCTCCTATATATACATACATATATATATATATATATATATATATATATATATATATATATATATATATATATATATATATATATATATATATATATATATCTATATATATATATATATATATATATATATATATATATATATATATATATATATATATATATATATATACATATATATATATATATATATATATATATATATATATATATATACATATATATATTATAGTCATGTAAGCAGGGCTGTGGAGTCGGAGTCGCTAAACAAAATCGCGACTCTGACTTCAATAGAAAAACTTCTCGGTATTGCGCGTGCATGTACAAATCATTTAATTGACCTTATGTTCATACTAAACCTCAAGGAGCGTCTGATAAATTTGTCAAAAAAGAAATTTTATCGCGTAATATTTTTTTAAGAATTTAAAGAATTTTTCAAAAATTTTGCTTTCGACTTTGAGTCGGAGTTGTGCTCAAAATATTTTATTAACTGGAGTCGGAGTCGTTACTTTTTTTTTACAACTCTACACCCCTGCATGTAATACAATAAATTTTCACTTCAACAATGACTCAGACCGTTGACCTTGCTCTTGCTTGTTCCACAGAATGAATCGAAGGTGCAATTGTCTTCATTTTTGCATGATAAATAAATTTTATTATTTATTCCAAGCTATTATAGTCGTTTTCGTTGTACAGTAGGTCTGTAAACCAATGATCTGCGAGTCATACGATATCAATTCACCCTCTGCAGAACTTGTCTTGTTGAAGGAATTAAAATAAAGACCAGGATTACTGGTATAGCTTTGAAGTTCCACTTGACATTACTGATGTTGCG